CAAGATGGTGAGGGAAGCACGGAAGGAGGAAGATAAAGCCGCTGGTCCAAGTGCATCCCCAGTCAGAAAGAGCAGAGTGCCAGTCGGTCATCAGGTCACTTTTTCCTTTTAATCCCAGCTCATGAAATGGTGCCACCCAGTTACGGTACCCATCTAGACAACCCTCATAGGCATGCCCAGAGGCTTGCCTTACAGGTGATTCTGTATCCTACCAAGTTAACAATCAATATTAACTATCACAGGCTCTGGATGTCATTTTTGTTGCCTTGAGATAAGGCCTTACTGTGCAGCCCTGGATGTCCAGGAACTCACTATGTAGACCACACCAGCCTTGAACTCACAGATTCAAGTGCTGAGATTAAAGGGGGACACCACCATTCCCAACAGATCCTGAATCTCTTTACTGATGTTTTCCCAAATGAAATTTATTATGGACTTACCTTTTATACAATTTACGAAATCTACACAAATCTATCAGTAGATGGCAGTACACTACTAACATATTAGCAAAAGATATCTAGGTTATAGCTCAGTTGGTAGTGCTTGCTTACTATTGAAAAGCCATAGACTGGATCTCTAATGTTACAAAACAAATAAATCACTATAAAAACCAAGAGTATGTAAAAAAAAAATAACATCAGTTCTTATCTCTCAAACTGAAATTTAAAAGCACTCAAGATCCAAAAGGATGGGAAGAAATACGTAGTTTTACATATAGCTGTAACGGTAAAGGAGGGGCAATTTGATAGGTTCAAAACTCTCAACTGTTCTATCTTGAAGAAATTACTTTTAGAAGAGGTCTGCACTAAGGTAAAGATACTACAGTGACCCTTAATACTAACAAAAAAGGAGAAATAATCCAAACAGCCAATGACAAGAACTAGTTAAAATTATGATATAAGTATCAAATGGGCATTATAGGCAGTCTAATAATGGGATTGGGCGGGGGGCTCAGGTCTGTAATTCTTGCAGTTGGGAGAAGCAGGATTCTGAGTTCAAAGGCAATCTGGATGAGCCCCACCTTACCATAGAAATAGGGAGCCACTGCAGGATTTTGAGGATACTGCCATCTGTACTATAGAGACTCCATGTGGTAGCAAGGGCAGAATGCGGTGAGGATATAAAGTGTGGTCTTGGGTATTCACTGATGGTAGATGTCCTAATGTACCGGATGTGAAATGTGATAAATCAAGGGGGTCTCCATGTTTTAGGATGAAACAACTGAAAGAAAGGTACTGATGTTGGCTCTAAGGGAAGACTGAGCCAAACAGGTACCTGGGGAGGGGGAACGTGCCAAGATTTGTGCAAGTGAACATTTACAAATGGATTCCTGATTAGTCCAGGTATCAACGTGGCTTAAAAACACAGCAGTGTGGCTTAGCTTGATAGGAATGGACAAATAACTGAAAAACTAGAATACCGAGAGCATTTTCTAACCTCCACTCACTTTTCTGCTAGTCAGAACTCTCCAGAGCTTCCTTTGTAAAAATCTACTATGTAGTATGACTAAGAATTGAAAATCCAAAAGTACAAAGCCCATTAAATAACACATCATTAAACAGGGAGGCCATGGGAAAACTGCATTTTGTAGCTAGGCTGATAACAACCAAACTGTTAAGTGAGGATGACAGCCTTCATCCATAGTTTTATCCATCTACCTTCTGAGAAACAGATGCATGTGAGTGAACTGCCAGCAATAAATGGAGCCTAAATTTAGATACACTTACCAAGTCTTGGTAAAGCTAAGGGTTAATATTACTTCTCCTAAGTGTAAGCCACCACACCTATACAATATTCTCAATTTCTACCTCAAAGTAGGCTAGTCATCACAAACTTGTCACCTAAGAACAAACCTACAGCCTTCCATGTAGTTAGTCTCCTTTGAAAACTTCTTTTTCCACCCAAAAAGGTACTTCTTCATATTACTGATCTTAGTATCTTCAGTTTGCTTCCTAAGTAGGACTATACCAGCCTCCTCACATTCCTGATGGCTGTCCAAGTTCTTACATTTAGTTTTTTTCTCCATTTTAACTATAACTAAAAGACTTAACTGCAGGTCTCAACTTCAGAACCATATGGCTACATTACTATTTCTTGGATGGCAGACACTAAATGCAGTCTTTGAATGTCTTCTAATGCTGTCCGTCTTAGTCACTGGTGTAACATTATACAAGCTCTTCATCTTCTCACCCTGTCTATACTCCACTGACCCTATATGCTAGCTGTGTGCTTTCCCTTCTTATCCCATCTCCTGATAAGCAAATCTGTAAAGTTCATTAGCCGACCTACCTCATCTTCTTTTCTCAATTTAATCTGCAACAAAGATGTTTTGAAATGCTAACTGGATTGTGACATTTCATACACATTAGTCACTCCCTGTGACACTTAAGGTAATTTTTAAGACTACATGTGTGGCCGGGCAGTGGTGGCACACGCCTTTAATCCCAGCACTTGGGAGGAAGAGCCAAGCAGATCTCTGAGTTCGAGGCCAGCCTGGTCTACAGAGCAACATCCAGGACAGGCATCAAAACTACACAGAGAAACCCTGTCTCAAAAGAAAAAAGAAAAAAAATTACATATGTGGGGGGTATGTGTGCCACTGTACTTGTATACAGAGGACAAGAGTCAGTTCTCTTCTTAGACCACATGGGTCCTAGAGATGGAACTCAGGTGTTCAGATTGGCTCCAAGTGCCTTTACCGGCTCAGCCATCTCACCGACTCTTATGACTTAAACTTAAGCTCTGATAAATCCCATACCTTTCATGTTTTACTACGTGCTTCAGACCAACAAGCATTCTTTAAATTCCTACTACACTGAACTCTCTTGCCAACAGAACTGTTTGTTTTGTTTTGTTTTACAAGACCTTCTCTCCCCAGAAAGCAGGTAGATCCCTCTACCAGGTCTTATTCTTCAGATTTCAGCATAATGTTAGGAAAATAAGCCAAAGCTTTCCTATGAGCTGAGGATGGGAACCTCATTTAATGTAAAGTTCAATTGGGTAGACAAGAGGGCTTAGCAGGTAAAGGCATTCACCACAAAAGCATGATGACACGATTCCTAGAACCCAAAAAAACAGAATACAGTGGTGCACGTTTTTAATCTCAACACTCCTACTCTGGAGATTCAAATTACTGATAGGAGACTCATCCATCTGATCACAAGCCTGGTAGCCAGGAGTGTGCAGTAAGACAGAAACAAGGGAGACACTACCTCACGGTGGAAAGCAAGAACTAACCCTCTGTGTTGTTCTCTGGTCTGACAGACACACAAGGACAGAGTTAACTGGTAACTGATGTTAGCCCCAGACTAGAGATTCTCCTATCTGTATTTCCAAATGCTAGCAACTTACAAGCACACAATACCACACCTGGCTCACTATAGATTTTTTTTTAAGTATATCTTTCATCCTACATACCTGATCACAATCAATGCGAACACACAAATCCCTAATAATTTTGCTAATGAAAGATAAATGATTATAATAAAGTAACTATTTTGTGATTAGGGTTAGAAAACATAAGCAGGAAGACTAGGAGAACCTTAAATCCTTTGTTTGTAGGAGTTGGGGGGGGGGGCAAGTTTGCCCGGGGTTGAAGCTCTTTAAGGTAGAGTGCCAGGCTATCACGCAGGAAACCTTGTTTGAATCTCCAGCACAGTAGAAGCCAGGAGTGGCACCATGCCCATTGTGATGGCACTCATCACCTTTTCTGTTCTCACAGTACTTTCCACAGCTTAAAAGTCCCTCTAGTGTTACCTTAGGGAGGAAGCGTAAACAGATAGGTTACTAACCAGGAGCCTGCTTTTCTAAGGATCCCAAATTTAACATCATCCTCAGCTAAGCACAGTTCGGGGCAATGCAGACTGTGACGGATTCCAATGGAGTTTGTGTTCTTTATTCAAGATGTCCTCAGTAGTTTTACTTATTTATGTGCTCTTTGCTGTTATATAGAGGCCATAGACAAAGAGCCTCAAATTATTCCAAAGATGAATGTAACTTTGAAAATGCAAACAGTAACAAGAAACCTAACAATGCCACATAAGTGCCAATGGTAACCTGAATTATTTCAATCTAAATTGCTTAGCGCTGTTACCTTCAACATACTCATAAGTTTGCAGGTAAGAAATCTGGGATCTAATCCAACATTTGTATACCAGTATTTCTTTCTTTTTTTAGGTGTACTCTCATACAGCCCAGGATGGCCTGAATCTCATCATAAGATGAGGATAAATCTGATCTTCTGATCCTGAGTGCTAGGATTACAGATGTGCCCTCAGGGTGGCTGATTTTAATGTAGTGCTGGGAATCAAACCCAGGCTTTCTGAATGCTATGTAAGTATTCTAGCAACTTTGACCTCCAGTCAAGGGACCAGATATTTGAAGGACAAATCTGTTACTATTTAAAAGTTATGTCTTATAATGTTCCCAAGCTAGCTGGTAAAATGTTACTGTGATCCAAAAATGGTTTTAGTTCTAAAGATTTATTTATTTAATTAAATATTTGCTTATTTAATGTATGAGTGCTCTACCTGCATGTACAACTTTATTCCAGAAGAGGCCATCAGATCCCATTACAGATGGTTGTGAGCTACTATGTGGTTGCTGGGAATTGAACTCAGGACCTTTGGAAGAACAGCCAGTGCTCTTAACTGCTAAGCCATCTCTGCAGCCCACGATTTTACTTCCAAAGGACTGGTGAGGTTGATAACCTCCCTAAGATGAGGCAATCATAATTCTAGCCAGATGGCTCAGCAAGTAAAGGTGATGACCTCTAATCCCTGCAAGTTGGCTTCTGACCTCCATACATGGACCACGGCATGCACACAAAATAAATGGAACTTAAACTTTAAAAATATGCCAGAAGAAATAACCATTCTCAAAGGGGTTCGCTTAGACAAAATATAGGTGACAGTCTAATCTGTTATTATTGTATTTTTCCAATAGACATTATTTGAACAAAATAAATTTTAAGTCAAACAAAAAGGACAAACTGCAAAGAATTATCAAAACTTTGTTTTTATTTTCAATACAAGATAAATACCATGCTTGTTACTAGTGCAGTTTAAGGCCAACAATGACCATATAGCAAACTGCTGAACAGTCACCTAAATGCTAAAGAAAGAAAAGACAAAGTAAACATTAAACACAAAATTGCAAGTACAAACATTTTAATAAAATGGGAATGAGCCTTTTGAAAGAAGCTAATATGGAAGTCTAGTTTTCATGGACATCAAAAGGATGCCTACTTGATGGAATATCACCTTACCTTTTGCACAGAAATCTTATGAAGTCACCACACCATAGTCAATAGCTAAAATCTCAAGACTTTCTTTGGCCTTCTGATATTAGACAGCTTATTTACAAAGGATGATTATCCAATAATTTCATGGGTGTTGTAATATGATACAATTTTTTGTTGTTGTTAAGGGCTTTCCATTAAAAATTGTAAAACAACTTTGTAAGGCTGTGCTGGGCTGTAAACTACTTTGCTAATATACCATGGGATGCAAAGGAAGAAATAATAGACCTTTTTAAGGCTAAAGTCATAAATGTTATTATAGAGGCAGTCCTCAAAATACATTATGATTCACCCCAAAGGATCATTTTCCATTAAATACCACCTGAGTACTACAATTTCCAAGGTAAAAAAAAAAAAAAAATAAACAAACATGAATTTATCACTGTATTTTAAAATAATTTGCATACAGAAATGCTGAGAAGTGTTACGTATAACAGTGTGGCAAAAAATACACCTTCGAAATGAAATGTTTTTACTAAAATGAAGAGTCTGTCCAATTATGAAGTGACTGTAATTCCTCCCATGGTGGAGTTTTAAAGGTGAAAAACTCCTCATAGTATTTCCTATCCAGATACCATTCAAGATTTGCGTGACTTCAATTAAACTTTACCTAATATTTTAAAAGCCTCCCATTACAATATAACTAATGGAACAGGAAGTCTTTAAAACACTGAAATCTGGCTATATGTAACCAAGAGTTCATACATCCCATATAAAACCATAGTAGCTGTATACTCAAAGAATGCCAACAACCTGGAACTTTAAAGAAACACTGGGTTAAAACCAACCTAAACCAATCTGAATATAACACAATGGCCTGAATATTTTGAATATTCATAAATTCATATTGCTTCTTTCTAATGCCAAGAAAGAAGAATATAAGAACTTCCTCCCAGAAGCCTAGACGCTTAATACATTTTCTATTTTGACTGAAAATGAAACTAATTCTAAATCTTGATTTAAATAAAATCTAAATTTAAAAAAAAAATCACATTATGAACACAAGAAATACCATATATAAGGCCACATCTCAATAAATTCTTAATTTTTGGTTGAATGTTTATTTAAAAATTAGTCTAAGGCTTCCAGGAGTCAAGTTGCTAAAAAATAAATACACCAGTGTTCAAACTGAAGATTAATGTTAACACATACACTATAAGAACATAAAAATAGAAGGCTTTGCTACAAAACTCCTACTTAATATACTTTAGCACAAAAAATGTCTAATATGTACAATGAGTAAGCGTGCATTTGGAAAGTACAAACAACTGGAGGAAACATTTACAGAGGGCTATGGGATGCAAATGAACTTCATGAATAAACTGAAAACTCATTATCTATGCAATAGCAAGAATCTCAACACTGTACTCTCAGGAAAGAATCAGAACAAACTTCCTCTTAAAATAACTTAAGCTGAAGCTTAAAGCCCAACCCTGGGACTTGTAAGATACACATAATGCAATGACCATCTGGGTAACAGCTAAAATGCCAGAGCACGCCAACAGAAGAGCCTTGCAGTAGCATCTCATTGTATGAAACAGAATGTACTTAGGTTATTGGCACATTTCAACACACAGGGAAACAGTCTTACCCTTTTCAACTATTCCCCTTCACCATAAAATGTTACATAATGCTCATTAAAACCTCCATGTTTATTTTTAGAACTGACTTTACTAAAGCAACATTCTCCATAGGAGAATCAAATGAAAATAATATCTTAAGCTACACATTATTTGTGAATTCCAAATTGTAGTTAATTGCTTAAGAATATTCTAGGTAAAGGAGCCATTAAACGGGCTAACATACATGATCAATAGCTATGGCAAGTTACTTGAAATCTTGCTGAAAACTGACAAAACAAACACTTGTAAATTGACACTGAAATATTGTTTCTACAAACCTATTTCCTTTACTTCAAAGCAGTATAATGAATTCAAAGTGCTGCTCCAGGAGAAATACTACCCTGTGGGTGCTTCACCACGCCTCTCTACCTGTGCTGCCAGTGGTAAGGACTGTGACTGCGCAGCACTGGTCAATGCTAGCATTCAGGGGAAAGGCAAGCTTCCTTTCATCACCACTACAGGAATTCTAATTTCTAAGACTCCCGCACTCCTCCCCCTACTCTTTCTTTCCTCTGCTTATTTATTTATTTGTTTGTTTGTTTATTTATTTGGTGTCTTTGCAAAGATTTATCTCTTTGGATTGTTTTTTACACATTAAAAACAAGTTTTCAAATAACACCGGCTCCTAAACAACACAAGGGCTTTGACAAATAAAATGTTTGTAACTTTGACTTTTACTGCTATACATTCATGTGTTATTAGGTAGGAGACTTTGCAAAATAAGTCAAACTGAAGTTCTTTTATTTGTTTCTTCCTGACAACACTTAAAATAACTGACTGCAGCAGCAAACAACTCGAGTACACTCACACTGCCTGCCACCAAAGTCACTTAATGAGATAAGCCAAGCAAGGAGAAGGGCGACATAAAGGGAGCAATTAAAGGGTTCCACTGATTAAAAACAGAAAAGGGAGTGAAGGATTAAAATTAGTACAAAATCTCCAGTTTCATTTCAAGTATATGTATTTGTGATTCCATTTTAAAAGTGTTCAGAGAAAATTTATCTCATGGACATTTTACTTACCTTTTAATCTTACTATTAACTAATTTCCCTTGTAAACATATGTATGTCCAAATGTCTTCACATTAGGGCATTATAATTAGACTATTAAAAAAAGCTAACAAAAAAAAAAATCACAAAAACTTACAATACCTATACACAAAACAAGAAAATAGATTTTGATACAACTCTCAAATTAAAAGGCAACTTGCATTTTAACAAGATTAAACACCTAAGAAAAATCATTTCTGAGAGCTAACAGTTAGTTCTGATAAACACCAATGATCTCTTGCAAAAATACTCTGCTCACAAAATGTTTTTAAATGAACTGGCAGTGGTAAGGGTATTTTCAAACTAAATGTTAAGTACTTTAAAAGCAGACAAAATGAAACTGAAAAACAGTGCAAATCTTGAGCTGCACATTATCTCTATCTATGGTACATAAATACCTTAAGCATTGCCCTTAAATTTAGACAAACTTTAAAAGCCAATGCATACTATCCCCAGATCTCTCATAAGTAGTAAGATCTTTAAAATATATTTAAAACAAATTAGCTTAAAATTTGATTTTATCTCAAATTTCCTTAGTAATTCAGGTTTTAAACTTCCTATAAAAATAGGTAATCAAGTTGACAGTCTGCCTCTGCTAATTTTGCAGAACACATGCTAGCCAGGTGCTTTTCATACAGCCTTTTATTAAGGCTGGCTTTTTATTAAAAAAAAACCAACTGGTTAACTAACTCTAATCAAGCATAAATCAACAAGGTTACAGAAATATACATAGAATTCCTTGAACCATGAATAAAGGATGTATTACTCACACTGAAGAACACAACCCAATGTTAATAAACATCAGACCCTTCAGACTCTCTGTCAAGTAGAATACTAGGGCTTTCTTTACTCACATTTATCTGCTGTATGGCTGTATTTACACTGCCTATGGCACCATCAGCATGAAACAGTAAATTACTGTATCAAATCAGAATTATCAAAATCTCTCTTAATGCTAGCAGTTCACACTTAATTGTTTCAGAATATCTGGGGTGTAATTAAGCTGCACTACTGTAGCAAATACATGAGTCTTTACCAAAAATGTTACAACCTCAAATTTTTTGACCCCCTAACACATTGACTGGATTGTTCTATCTGCCAAATTTCAGTTTTTACAAGTTTACATACCATTCAGCAAAATCAAAAGCTAACTAGGTAAAAACAGCTAGAAAAGCAGAATATAGAAATATTAAATATCCATGTAATCACCTATTCTAATATCAAAATCAAGGGCAAGAGACACTTAATTGGTTATGTTTAATTCACTGAACGCAAGATTAGATTGATGCATATCCAAACACCCTATTGCAATGCTTTTTTAAAGGACAGTAAAAATGTTGTCATAGTAACATTATCTTTAGATATTGCTGAACACAAGACTTTCCCTGAGGTGTAAACATCAAATAACTTGAACAGCTTTACACATCAGCCCCATTCAACAGTTTATTACAACACTACATCTATTGTAATCAAAGTGGTGCTGTTTACAGACATTATCATATCAACATTTTTAACAAGAACAAACTACTATAAAAACAAGCATTTACTTGAATTTTTTCCAATTGCTTGCACATTATAATGGCCAAATATATATAACCAGTAATAAAGTTGCAAAAGCTATTAACTTTTTAAATCACACAGGTTTCCTTCAAATAAAACAGTTAAGCAACATAAAAAAATAAAAGTAGAGCTACTGGTTACCATTTATGCAGATTTGCTTTATTCAGATCTATTCCTGTTCAGTTTATCCATGAATCCTTACAGGTTCAGTTCAATCACAAGAAGCAAACTGCTGGACAAGCGTCACTTTCCCATGAAGACTGTCTGTCTTGGAAGGTGTTCCTCTTCCTTCAGCTGTAATGTGTCAAAATTGGTGATGTAGGTTTTGCTATTCCCCAGAATACACAGAAAAATGTTGGCTTAGCTATACATACACAAGTCGTGCATCTACTCACTGTTAGGTATTCTAACACAAAATAAAAAGGAACTCAAACAGTAGCTGCTTGCATGGTGGAGAAATACTCCTAATTCACAAATTCAAAATGAGAAATTCTCATTTCATTCTTCTTACATATTACTACCTTTGATATTCAGTGATTGCCATATGAAGACCATTCTTTTGTACAATGTATGTGAATTTTCAAAAGAAAAAAATTACAGTAACAAATGAAAATACAGCAGCTACTGTTTCTGTGATGATGAGAACAGTCATAAATCATTTTCTAAAATATGCACACTACAAAATAAATGGGAAAATGCTTGGATTTGAATGTAGCTATTTTTCATTCAACCACACATCAATTCATATAACAAATGCTGAACTGAATATAAAATGCAATGAAATTTACAAATTAACTGTATTTGACAGCATACATTAACTTCTGCCAATCTGTTATAAATCAATGGTGTTCCATGTTACAAAATTCATAAATAACACCTCAGTATGGACATTAAATGTGACATCCACATACAAATCTTTAGACATAATACAAATCTGAGACATTACCTTCATTCTATTTCACCTCTATCAACTAACCAAACACAAATTAATGGGAATCTACAATGATAAATTCAATTGAAAACTCACATAAAGATGGAAGGGGGAAGCCATCAATAAAATTGATACTATAGTCTCAGGTATATATATATGTAACATATATATGTAAATCCAAAACAGAACATTAATTTAAAAAATGATTACTGAATATCAAATATTTAAAATAGAAATACTAAGTGGGTACTTTAATATTTTTCAAAAGCATACAGTGTTTAATGGCATTCAGTCATAAAAGTTTTAAAAGATCCTTTGCTTTATAACTAAAGTAATTTTGTGACAACTGTAAATTTTGTGTTCAATTTTCTTTGGGAGAATCTTAAAGAGTATCAGTATACATACACATATTCATACTTCCTAATAAAAACTTCAATCTTAAAAGTACAGAGGAAAGGGTTTTTCTCATCTAAATGCTCTCCAGACATCGGAACTGTTGAAGGGACAGCTGAGCTATTTATAGTATCACCTTCTCTACTTTCACTTTTCTGTTCTGTTGATGCGGTTCACACAGAGGAATTATTTAACAGAAAAGAACCTATAAATGTCTGTTTTCCAACATTTTATTTTGCAGGTTACAATTCTGGTAGGATTTTGTTTGTTTTCTGGAGTTGATGCTGAGAATGAATCCATGACTTCACACATGCTAAAGCCTATGACTTACTGAACATGACACTCTCAGCACTAGTGAATTTTAAAAACAATAAGGCACTAGAAAAAAACAAAGCACGTTTTAAGCTACTAAAAAGATTGCAGGGAAATTCATAAATCCTACTAAAAAAAGGAATGCTATCTTTCTTAATACTTTTGCTGTGTTGTAAAGGATGAAGGATGAATCACTGAGAGAAAAATTATTTAAAGTCACAGCGTGGGGGTTGGGGGGAAAAAAAAGAAAGAAAATCAATCTTTCAAAAAGCCACAGGGTACATATTACCATGACCTTAAAGGAAACTTTACTACTTTTATACAGGAAATCTTGTTTGTGAGGTCACAATACACATCGTTGTGCAGGACTAATAAACTCGTCTTTTGCTACATTATATTTTATAGATAGGTCTAATTAATAAATCTTAAAATTTCACCATACAGACAGAAAATTTAGGGAATAGTCTAGAAACTTTTATTTCTAGTTCTAAACACTTTACATAAACACAAATTTTACAATCTCAAACGGAAGCAAAATTTGAAGGCAATACAACCCATTTCCAATAATCCAATTCCATATTATAGTCTCAAATGTCTAAATAGACATCTACATAAACAAATATATCAAAAAGGTTCGAAGTGACAAATACATTCAATGCCCATATGTTCAAAATAGCATTTGATCAACTCTGTACTGTGAAAGGCACACAATTATTTGCTTTAGCTGTCAGTTATAAAAGGAACCTATGTAAACAGCTGTTAAATGAACTAAGACAATGAACTACAGCTCTAAAATCTGCAAGCTAAAGCAAGCAGTATGTTTCAATACAGAGCAAAAGACCTACATTCTGAGATAACGTACTATCAAACCATTACTTAACAACTCAAATTGAGTGTGACTTAGATATGCAAACTTGGTATTATCTGTATTTTGAAACTCATGGAAAATTTTATCTTTTAAGTGAATATTTGATAGGATTCTTCTAAGTCTTTATATTGCCTGTTTGTTTTTATTTCTGAAACAGGGTCTTAGTATAGAGGCCTGGCTAGCCTGAAACTCCACATGTAAACCAAGCTGGCCTGCATTGTCTCTTAAGGTGCTGAGTTCACAGGTGTGCACTACCACACCCAGCTCTTACAGGTTTTCGTATTAATGTGCTGAATTAAAAAGGATCCTCACATAATGAGAAAGATAACACTTTTAAATAGGTAAGATTTAACCTTCTGTATCTGAAAATTTCTCCTTAATGAGGAATGGGGATGAGGTAGGCAATAGAAGCATCTAAACTTATCTGAAGTTTCTCCTTATATTGACTAGAACACTGTACATAAAAAACAATTGTTTATTACAGATGTTCACAAAAAGTTTCTAGCTACCAAACAGTTTATATTTTCCTGTTTTTCGCTGAACATCATACTTACCCCATTTCAACTAAAGCATTTTACTACTCTGTAAAATACACAATTAGGTGTTCTATGCATCTGACTACATGGTGGAAAGAAGCTCCATCACAAAAAAAGAAAAAGAAAGAAAATAGGCTTTGGTCAAAAAGAGATACCCAAAGGATAGGGACATTTCAAAATAAGTTGCTATTTAGAATTCACCTACTATCAAAAGTTAGAACTTGTTAACCACAGAAAGCAAAAACATTAATTTGGATAACATGAATGGCACTCTTCTCTTACTGAATATTCATTTAAAACAAATACTTATTCAAAACAATCCACTCTAAAAACTCAACAATGGTAGGAATTTCACACTGAGATGAAGGTGAGAGCAAGGTGACTCACATCAGCATTCAATTTCTTCAAGACAAACATCAATTATTTATAAACAAAACTATATTCTTAAACCACAGTGAGCAAAACACACTACACATACATCCAAGGGATCACTTCCTACCCTCTCTTGTCACTTCAAGTAAGACACTGTGTAGCAGACAGATTTTTCAAATACTACAAATATAAGAAATCAGAGGAGAAATAAGAGCCAGCATATCAAGATAAAGCACAGCAGTTGAGATATATGGGAAAACAGGGCTGGGAATACTAGGCAGGTAACAAATGACCTAGGAGTTTTAGAAATAATTTTAAAATCTTGTTAACAGTCAGTTACCATTCACCAAGCAATGAAAAGAATTTTCACCAAAAAAAAAAAAAATCAACGTAACACTCCTAAGAAGATGAAACATCTTGAATATAAAAGAAATGTTTTCTTTGGGCTTTCACCCAAATTAACACAAAGCTATTAACAATCTAATAAGCAACACAAAGTATCCTAAAGTAATTAAACTCAAGTTCATGACATTTATGCCAGAAGTAACCACATAGCCATACTCTTACAGTTACTTATTAACCCAGACTCCAAACACAGTACTTAGTAAAGAAATGTAATCATTTGAGAACATGGTAAATCTCATCAATTAGAAAGAGAAGCCTGAATAAAAAGCATCTAGGAAGAACATTCCCTTTCATTATTCTTCAGTACACAAACTCCTGAGCAGGGCTATTCTAAACAAGCAGTTAGATGACCAGTCTAAAAAAGGAACTCCACTATAACTGTAACAGTAACATTATTTCGGTAAGAACACAACCTTACACCTTTTATTTTGCTCAGAGTGGTCTGAGAATAGAGGCAAAAATTACAGAATACGAAGCACAATGCATTTACACTGAAATTTACAAAACTGTTGTTTTTCTCATTGAAGTATTATTACCTTTTGAACTTGGATATGGAATGCTATTAGAAAAACTAATACATTTTTCAAATGAGAATGCAATTAACATTACCCAACAGTTCAAACACAAAAAAAACTTAGGATGGGACAGACATTAACAGCTGCCAACATCAAGTTTCCAGAGCCTGCCCTTTACCCACCATCATCACTCAACAGTGTAGTACATTATTAACTTACACAAAGACTGATATTTACTTTATTGTTGAAGCACTTCTTATTCCATTTAAGGTTTACATGAAAGTTCAAAAGGACTCATATTTAAAAACTTCTAAAGAGGTCAACAGACCTTATAAGGTAATAAAATTTGCAAATAGGTTTGCACTCAAATATATGTATTTAATCCCAACCCCCACCCTCTTACATCTACTTCCACAATAAATACTGCTTGGCATATAGCAAAGGTACAATAATCCAGGAAGACATCTCCCCCCACCCACTACTGGAAAGACTTTTGTAAAATTTTGCTTGGATGAAGGCACACAACAATATTACAACTCAATTCTGATTAATGTACAAACAAAACATGGGATTTGGGGTATGGTACATCATTAATTGCAAAAAACGTCAACAACTGCACACTAGGAAATTGTAGTTAAATGTTTGAAAGACATAGAACTCAAATCATGATATATTTAGGTGTATACTCTTGACTGGAGTATAAATTCAAAGTATGTGAAAATTAACAATGAACTTTTCAAAAGGAACATACTTGGTTTACTGAATTCATTTTATGAAGACTCAGAAGAAAACTGCTACTAATTAACTCTACATGTGAATTGGGTTAGAGGCCCCTTGATGGACACACTGAATTAATGAAAATGTATCCAAGTTTCTCTATCATATCTTTGGTAACTGTAAGACAGTTGGTAAAATGTAAAGTTTAAAATAAATAAATAAATACAGCTTGTAGACCCTGTACCTTATCAAATGACAGAGAATTAGACATTTCAAGTAATAGCCTGGCCAGAATCCATCTTAAGGGATCTTTACTAGGAATAAAAAAACTTCATTTAAAATTTAGTTTAGATTTTATGATACAACGCTCAATTTTTATATTCAAACAGTGCCAATTTTAATAATTTTAAAACTAGTATATAAATGTTTTGAGAATTAAAAATTTTAATACAACATAGAACTAATAAAAATGTTATGATAAATATTCAAGGACATATTCAAATGTAAGACAAAGTATTAAAATAGGCTTTCTCACTTAAAAAGCCCTTAAACAGCAAGAGTGATAACTCTTATGTTCCACAAAAATTAGACAGAGGCTGGGCGGTAGTGGCGCACGCCTTTAATCCCAGCACTTGGGAGGCAGAGGCAGGTGGATCTCTGTGAGTTCGAGGCCGGCCTGGGCTACAGAGTGAGTTCCAGGAAAGGTGCAAAGCTACAGAGAAACCCTGTCTTGAAAAACCAAAAAAAAAAAAAAATAGACACCTTTTGTTCCTGCGTGTGTGTGTGTGTGTGTGTGTGTGTGTGTGTGTGTGTGTGTGTGTGTGTGTGATGTTTAAAACTGCTGTCATAAAATTACATACACAATAAAGCCAATTACAATTTAAATATTAACAATTTTTAGGACAGGATTTTCAATAAGGTTCTGAAGTATTTCCGTATAGAGGATTTGTTTTAAGCCTAATTAATTGAAATATGCCATCAATATATGGAGCAAAGGAGTTTATAGAAGAACCTGTCACATGCGAAAGATTCCCAGTGCTCCTTCCCCACTCTTCATGAGTAAACACTGTTCACAAATATAAAATAAAATTACATGGAAAAATGAAGCATAAACAGACAACTCATTCTACTTTATGAAAAAAAATGTACACAAATTTTTAAAATACAGAAAAAAAGACAATGATTATGGCTTATGAATGAAACATCAAAGAAAATTATTTCCAGTTATTTCTAACTTGGGATGTATGGCTTGGCACAATTTAACGTTTTTAGATATGTACCCTGAACCCACTGCACACCTTCTTTGCAAATTAAAAAGATAATAATACTCCTTAAAAAAAAATAATAAATCAAATACCAGAATTTTTTTTTTCTAAAAAGTAGTTTTTTAAAGGGAAAAAAGTTCTTGTCAATGCTGGAAAACATCTTTTTGTAGTATAACCTATTATAGTGTTAGATTTTCTTAAAAAGTTTCAGGGACAAATCAAGTTAGTTCAAAGGAGAAAGAATAGAAACTTCATTTTTAAAAAATCCAAGCACATACTATTCATATCTGAGACAACCCCCAGGTGTTTATAAATATTTTAAATCACATGCAAACAATGAATGTGATTACAAGAATCCCAATTTGTAAATTTTAGAAGTACACAATGAGTCCTCTTGATTATTTTTCTTGCTTTAAGACCACAAACAATCTGAAATCTAAAAGTCACAGAATACAATATTCAAGGGAAAAAAGGTCAAAATTTTTTACCTGTGATGGCTTACCTGTTTTCAGATGTTTCCAGAAGATTAAATCAGAACAAGTACTTGGACCACTTAAAATGTAGGTATATTTACTGCATAAACAACAGCCTTGGAGTTATAATTACTGTTAATAACACACACATACTAAATATAATAATAAAAAGGAATGCTCACCTTCTAACGATGACGGTATTCTCGCTCTCGGTCACGCTCCCGGTCCCGGTCCCGATCCCGATCCCTGTGTCTCTCTCGCTCTCTGCTTCTCTCTCTGTAATAATCATCATGGCGATCTCTACTCCGAGATTTATGACGCCGACTCTTTTCCCGTGATCTACTATGGTCCCTTTCTCTTGATCGTTCACGTCTTCTAAAAAAAATTACTGGATTAATGCTCTCCATAAGACAGTCAATATAGTTGTCTTTCCTTTATCCCTAGCTTTATTTTCCATGGTTTCAGTTACAAGTCAACCAGTCTGAAACTATTAAATTAAAATTTCAGAAATAAAACACTTTTATGCTATTCTGATTAGCTGTAGGAGTAGAGGAAGCCCCAAGTGAATGAAGTTCTGAATGAACGTGTATTATTGACATGGCCATGGCTATGTGGGGACTCCAAGGCCCCTAATAACCCCATGTAACATTGGCAAAGAAGGTTCCCACACAGGTCAGGCTCAAGAGGGATGGCAAGCTCCCCTCAGGGGTCCCATTATGAGTGTTTACGAAGAACTATCCAGTGTGTGTAAAGACTAACAAAAGTACCTTCTTCTGGTATGTTTTTAGACTGCAACTACTACTCTACAGAGGCCTACTTAGACTAGCAAGTCCCTCCCAATAATTGCACCTAATACACACGCAGAAGTTCCAGGTTCCAGCTGCAGCAGAACCTTCCTGATCCTAGCACTACTGAAAGTGTCTGTCCTCTCCTCTTTCCCATGCAGCCCCTAGTCAGGGTTCCAAAACCCAAGCCTGTGGCAATCATGATGAAATCTTTTATCATCTTGCTCCTTCCTGCCTGCACTGTGAACCATCCCTGTCCAGTGTACCCACTAATCAATTATTCAGTATCTGTCTCAAGCATCACAGCGATGCAGTACTTATGCCTGAATAATCCTTAGATTACTTAGTAATAGCCCCCAAGTGTGAGGGTAGTGATGCTGACAGGCAATTTGAACACTGCTCCTTTAAGTAAAAAAGTAAAAATCAAAAAGTCATGCTGAAGTTGCTAAGGTTTACATTGAGAACCCATGAAAAAAGAAATTTATGCTAACTTTGCCATCATATCTTAAAAACCCAAATCATAGCCAAAGTTCATAATAATTCCAGTAGTTTATGTAAGAATTCTTTTACATTAATTTCTTAACCAGGGAACTAAACTTAAATATTGTCAAGCTCCTGATCAAACTAGATGTCCTCACAAAGAAGACATGCATGATATGGTCTCTAGTTACGACAAACTTGTTCAGATACGGAGAGTCTTAAACGGAGCCCAAAAGGTAGTAACAAAGTAAGAGCGTGTCCAATATAAATTCCTTTCTCAGGAGAAAAACCCCAGCTGCCCTTCCAGAGGACCCAGGTTCAATTCTCAGCCCCACACAGTGGCTCATAACTGTCTCTAACTGTAGTTTTGGGGAATCCAAGGCCCTACCTCTGTGGGCACCCAGGATGCATGGAAAACAGCTACACATGCAGGCAAAAAAAAAACACCCACACACGAAATCAAAATATTAAAAATGTGGCTGAGTGTAATCAGAATGCAGAGGCAGGCTGAACTCTGTAAATGCAAGGCCAGGCTGGTCTACATTGTGAGACTCTGTCTCAAAAGAGAAAATATCATGCGAAGATTAAACACCCAAAACACATAAAATTTTAAGATTCATAAAAATGCTTTAAAAGTAACCTTTAAAAAATTTTATTAATCTATTACAAGGGCTGAAAAGATAGCTGAGTGGTAAGAGCACTGTTGCTCTTGCAGAGGACCAGGGTTTGATTTGCAGCACCCACATGATGACTCTCAACCATCACAGCCATCCTAACTCTAGTTCTAGGGGACTCAGTGTTCTCTTTGACTACCTCAGCCACTACCACACATGTGTATGAATGTTTTACATCTAGCAAAACATTCATACACATTAAAATAAATAAACCTAAAATAAAGCTGTACCTATTACAAAACAGATTACCACATATTCATTCATTTATTCCCTCTTTCAAAAAACATCCTGTATCAAGTAATGTTTAATAGCTAGGGCCCCTATCATCATTCAACATGTGTTCAGTAAGAAATGAGCATCAATAATGAAAAATACATGATTGTAGTAAATACTACAAAAGAAATAGAATACGACAGACTAGATTAAGTTGAAACATGAAAAATAAAGACAATGTATAGGGGAGGGAAAAAAGAACAAAATGGTTTCAGGAAAAAACACCAAGGACAAAATCAGTGAGGTGGTCAAGGCTTGGTGTGTCCACGAGAAGAGACCCTTAGGCTAGAGAACAGTGACCCGGGGAGGATATGAGTAATGAGGGTCAAGAAAAAAAAAGATTACATCACACAATGTGCTTGTGTACAGTTAGTCTGAGAGCAAACAGAAGCCATACAGTTCCTTGCATATAATTTTATTCTAAGTAGACACCTTGAAGGATTTCAGGAAGCACCAACATGCCATTTAGAGTTAATTAAAAAATCCACTCTGACTGCTGGGTACACAGTAAGTAAAATAGGAGTCCCATTTTTTAAAGTTCCACTTTTTTTGTTGTTGTTGTGAACTATTTTAAAAATACATGAGACAGGAAAGTTTTACCTTGATCCAGAGCCATAGGACTTGGACTCAATTCCATGAAGGCAATCTTGCAAAGAACTAATAAGAACTTTGCAACGATCATCGGCAGATACTTTGGATTGTTTAATTAAAGAAATTGCTGTTACCAATGTTTCAATAGCACTCCCATAATCACCTGCAGGGGAAAAGACAATGTTAGTAGCAAACAAATTTTGTTTCCAAATGATCATCAAACCAACCTTTTTGGAATAAGAGTGATGAAGCAATTTTTTGAAAGTGTCTTTTAAGATGACCAGAGGCAATAACTTTTGGCCAGTGTTTTGAAATTTGCAAGAGTCTCATGATCTTGAAGCTAATGTAATTGGTTGTTTCATGCAGAAGGAGTTATTTTGCAAATACAAGAATTAAATGAGCTATCTTCAGGACTCTGCACTATTATACCAAAGTTAATATATAAACTTTTTATGTGCACAAGTGTTTTGCCTACATATGTCTTTGCATCACAAGCAAGACTGGTGCCCATGAAGGCCAAAGAGGGTGTCAGACCCCTTGGAACTGGAGTTATAGTTGGTTGTGAGCTACGACATAGGTGCTGGGAATCAACTTTGATCCTCTGGAGGAGCAGGCAGTGCTCTTAACTCCTAAGCTATCTCTCCAATCCCCAAAGTCAGTATTTCTTTTTAATTTTATGTGTAGGGATATTCTGCCTGCATGTGTGTCTGTGCACCATTGAGTGTGTTTGGTACCCAGGAAGAAAGAAGATGACACTGGATCCCAGTACTAGCAGCCAGTGTTCTTAATCAGGGCCATCTCCCCAACCCCCAACTAGTATTTAAATCTCAATATAGTAACTTAAAACTGGTGGTCTTTCCACTACATTGCCTTCAATACTTTAAATTAAATGACAGATAATGACTTAGGAATATACAGATTACATGGAGAGTAAGAAGACTATCTTCACAAACTGCACTTAAGCTTTGGGTTTTGATGTTTTAATTTTTAAATTTTATTTTATGGGTATGGGTGTTTGACTGCATGTGTGTTTATCTATGTATTACAAGCATGCCTGATGCCAGCAGAAACCAGAAAAGGGACTCAGATCCTCAAGAACTGGAGTTAACAGATGGCTGTGCATCAAACCAGGGTCCTCGGGAAGAGCAGCTAGTTCTTACTGGCTGAGCCATCTCTCCAGGCCCTAGGTTCGGGGTTATCCTTAACAGAAATAGTTATGTTAAAGGAATGAACGCTGAAACAAATATACAAACCAGCACTGGCATCAGACACAGCTCTTGAAATAGCACTGCTTGAGATGGCCCGATTTCTATTCATGATTTCTTCAAACTCAGCTTCACTCAATGGTGTTCTTGCAGTATCCATTTCCCTACAAAAGACAAATAAATGTTAAATTGTTACTTAACAAAAGCTCTCAAGTTAGTAACAATGTAAACAACTCCACACTAAAAGGTTTGGCATTTGCCTCAGAGACAGTGGTTACTTTGCCGGATTCAAGAATGCTATTTTCCCTATCAGATCAAGCCTAAGCAAAATTCCCTTTATCATTGTGTTTTGGCTGAAATACTGCAGCTTAGAAATCTAATCTTTCTGCAGGACAGAAATTATGCTTACATTTCTACAATGTAACAGATTTCAGTCACAGTTCTTTATCTTTTTCTGACTAAACAGTTTCATTACTTCATGTTTTAACTTACCTCCCAGGAGGACCATAGTCACCCCTATCATATGGTGGAGGTCGGCCATATGGGTCGGTTGGTGGTGGACCTCGACTATCTGATGTTGGCATGCCACTATTAGTTGGTGGAGGAAAAAAAGCAGGATTCACATGTGGAGCTGGTGGTGGGGCACCTGGAGGTGGTCCCGGAAGATGTGGAGGAGGAGCAAGAGTGAGGGGAGGCCCGAGTGGACCTGGTGGTCGAGGTGGAAAGGGGCCTGGAGGTGGAGGTGGTCCCTGCTGTGGAGGCGGTGGACCAGGAGGAGGGCCGTAGCCTGGAACTGGAGGTGGAGGCCCAGGAGGAAGTGGACCCAACGGAGGTTGCCCAAAAGGTTGTCCAGGAAAAAGAACTGGTGGTGGAGGGCGGTCTCCTCGATTGGGAGGTCCTGCTAGAGGAGGTGGCAGGACCTGACCAGGAGGTGGAGGACCTGGTGGACCAGGTGGGCCTGGAGGGCCCAAAGGTGGACGGGGTGGAGTCTGTCCAGCTACAAAATAAAGGAGAAAGGAGAAAAACACTTCAATAAAGTTGTAACTATTACATGCCAAGATTATACTTCTACAGCAGAACTTAGAAACCATGACTCTCTCTTTAAATGAAACCCATATGGTAGTGCTCCACTAACAACTACACAATGCAAAATATCCTCACATTTAACTAGTTCAAATTACGACTCAGAAAAAGCACTGAAACAAAAACTTTTAACAGGCTTTAACACCTAGAGATACTTTCCATCTTTCAGCATATACACACTTCTTACAGCGAAATCACCCACCTTATATTCTACTCTGATGCCAAGCTAGAAAGTGAAACAAGGGAAAATGGTCTTGAAAGGATTTTTTAAGAGGTAAGAAAATAAGACGGATGTAAATATTCTATATATAAGTCAAGCAAGTTTGGAGAAAAATAAAGACCTTTTAGGCCAAAAATGGGTATTTCCTCTATGCTGTGCCCCATATGCCATGGAATCCTAGTTTCCAGGAACAAAGGCCGAGTTCCTTTAACAAGATGCTTGATCAAATTTCCTGGGTTCCAAAAATAGCATAACAAGGAGAGTAAGTCACATTAATAATGCATTACTTGAAAAAGAGAGAAAAGGAAAAGAGGTATTAGGCAGACATATTTTCTCCATGATAAACTTAAGGAAAGTTTTACCTGGGAAAGGTGGAGGTGGCCCTCCTGGTCCTGCTGGCCCAGGAAATCTGTCCCCACCGGGAACAGCCCCTGGAAAACGGCCCCGTCCTCTACCACCTTGTGGAAATGCTGCACGTGAACTGCCTCCTGGAGGACCAGCTTTACCTTCCCCAGACATTTGTCCTGATTGTGTAGCTGCAAACACCCAAATACTCATAAATAGCACTTATTAAAACAGTTCTCCGAATTGTAACCGTGTTATTAGAAACTACTTCAAAGTTCATTTATACTATTTATCAATTTCAGATGCCTTGGGCCTATGCAAAGTACTTGGCTAGGAAAACATTCATATTTATTGAAACACTTTCTTAAAGTCTTAAAATATTCAAGTTTAAATGTACTTCCACTGAATAAACACGTTGCTTTTAAAATACCAGTACTCTACAGCAGCCAAGACAGAAATTTTTCAACAGAAACCTTAATTTCAATAGCAGATTACTCATTTTATGTTACGTAACGTATTCTTCAGTTAAGTCTTAAATACTAAAATAATTAAAAACAACCACTTGAATTTCGATTAATTACATGGGTCATCCATCTTATCTCTTTAAAAAAGTACGTAATGACAATAAATTTATTTTACATTTATTTTACCAAGTAGCAAAAGGTCTTGGTGCCAAGCATAGATGACAGATAGCTGAGAGATAGATAGATAGATAGATAGATAGATAGATAGATAGATAAATACATAGATAGATACATAGATAGATATAGATAGGTAAATGGATGATAGATGACTGATAAATGACAGATACATAGATACACAGATAGATAGATACATAGATAGATGGATGGATGGATGGATGACAGATATACAGATACATAGATAGACACATAGCGAGGTAAATGACTATTTCCTAGTCCTCATTAGCCTTTCTATTCCCATCAACTCTAAGATGTGAACAACAGGACAAGAAGGGCAGCACTATAAAGCTCTCAAACTGCTGCATACTGTTGGGTCTGTGACATCTAGAAACAAATGGAATAGGAGTAGATTTCTAGTATATTGGCCCATAGTCATAACAAATGAATAAATCAAGTTCATCCAATAAACTAAATCATAAGTGTAATATTTAACAAACGCCAGCACACTGCTTGAAGTACAGTTTTAAAAAAGGCTGTGGAGAGAGTTGCTTACTTTTCCTCGACTGCATCTCAAACTGACTCAGGAATTGCTTATTGCATGGAGTCACGACAGGATTCTGACCATGAAGTTCCCTTTTAGGCAACAGATCCATTAACTTTTTGGAAGATGCTTCAGATCCAACACCAACAAGGGCAAATCTAAAAGATGGTAAGGGGGTAGTTATAAAAAGGAAGAACTGAGAATGTTACTGTTGATTAAAAAAGAAATGGTCTTAACTTACTCTTATGAGAAGAAAAATAGACTCTTAAGACTACACAAGCTTACATTATCTTTTATAATGTACCAGAGTTCACTTAAATGTGCAATTCAGTAATTTTTTTTAGTATAGTCATGTGTTTTACAAACATCATATGATGGTTCATTCATAACAGTCATCATTACCAAAAGAGAATCCATACCCTCTACCACCATTCCCATTTACTCTCATCTCTTAAACACAGGGATGCATAACCAAAGATAGTTCTCTATGGATCTGCCTCATCTGGAAGTTCAAACGAATGGAATACGTAGTCCTTTACAACCAGCTTCACTTAGTGTCCAAGGTCTAGTTATGCTATAACACGCATCACTAATTCATTTCATTTAGTGGCTGAGTAATGTTCAATTATAGACATTGTTTTCTGGTTTTGTTTTAAATCCACCCATTAGTCACTAGGCACTTGGGCTGCTTTCACTTTTTACTGCCACAAAAAGATGTTCGGTGTAGGGGCTAGAAGAGATGGCTCCGTGGTCAACAGCGGTCAATGACTCTTCTTCCAGGACTCTGGTCGATTTCTAGGACCCACATGGTGGCTCACAATCATGCATAACTCCAGTTCCAGGAGATCTAATTCCCTCTTCTGGTCTCCTTGGGCATTAGGCATACAAGAGTACACAGACATACATGCAGCCTAAACACCCATGCACATAAAATAATTAAGTAATAATTTTTAAAAGATGTTCATTATCATTAGCCATCACTATATAAATCAAAACCATGAGAAGTAATTTCCACTAGAATCAAAACGACAACTATGCAGTACTAGTAAAGATAAGGAGAGACTACAACCCTCCTGCACTGATGGGATTGTGCGATCTGATAGCTTCTCAAAACGTTAAACAGACTTACCATAAACTTAACTAATTCCACTCCCAGGTACAAGCCCAGAACAAGCAAAAGTGTATGTTCACACAAAACTAAACAACTAAAGTAGAAGCCATCGAAACCTGGACAGTGGAGTCTTCCTTTAGTGCTACCCATGACACGGACCATTATTTAAGCATAAAAATAAATGCCAATGCTGCTACATGGATGTACTACGTGAAAGAAGTCACACACACACACGACCTCGTTGTTGTTATTATTTTGTTTACATGAAAGGCCCAGAACAGAAATTCTGAGGCAGAAAGTACATGAATCGTTGTCAGCAAAGGGGACAAGGGTGATCAGGGTAATGCTAAGGCACCCAAGGTTTTTTTGGTAATGGAGGTGATGAAATATTCTGAAACTAGAGAGCTGCAATGGTTGCTTAACTTTGTAAATATTTTTTTAAAGTATTGTACTGTACTTATACAAATATAAAAGAAATTAATGTAAAAAAATCCAATAATGTGCCTACTATATTATTTATAATAGACACAAGTAGAAATAACCATACTATCCAAAAATAAGAAAAGTAAGATATATTTATCACTAACTATTTCTTCTGTACTTTTCAATCAAACATGAAAGTGTGAATTATAATACTCTTGTTTAGGTAAAAATGTGGAAGCACATTTACTAACGTGATAATCTGTAAATGGTGAAAGTGCAGCACTTCATTTCTTACTTTTAGATACCCGCATTATATACTAACCCTACCCTGTGTGTGGGAATTGCTGACTAGGGAATGAAGCAAGATATCCAGGTTAGACTTCACTCCTCAGTTACTGTCTTTCTTTACCATTTTTAGTTATGTGCTGGAATCAAACCCAGAGCTCCTCCATGTTATGCAAACGGTTCTACCACTGAGCTACATACTCAGCTCTTCCTCTTCTCCTCATCACAACAAAGATAACTCTTCTCAGCACTGCTATTTCCACCTTAGAAGGTGTTCTCAGTGAATGGAGGGAGCATTCTAGTCTGTCTACAGTGCCATCACAACCAGCTTCAGTACAGTTTGAAGAAACAAATATAAAATGTCAGTAAGGAACCTCTGCCTAAGACCCTCCTTCTAGTGTGCTCACGTGAGTTCCTAGAACTAACTCGGGTTGTCAGATTAGTGCAGCAGGCATCTTCAGTAGCTAAGGCATTTGTCAGTGCTTACCTGTTCGTGTATGCTCCATGGGTGTAATCAACATTAAACTTAAGGAAAACTAATTGTAAACTGTAATCGCTATCCATTGTTTATATTAGGAAAAAAACGAAATTCTTACCCCTTTGATTGTCCATTTGCCCGATTTTCAAAAAATTTTATCTCCAAAATATCATTTACTCCCAAAGAATGAACTGCTTCAGTTAAGTCCTCATCTGTTGTCCACTGCAAGACATTTCCCCCTTGTTAGCCATTAAAATATATTCAGGTTTTTACTGTCTGAATTTAACTTTTAAAGGAAAACAAATGTTAACAGAAAATTATTGCAAATCTAAGTATAATTAATGCCTGTCAACCTTCAATTTTTAAATAGCAGAAAAGCATCTTGAGTGCCTAACTTCATTTCCTGATAGGAGTTTTGGAAATTATAAAGTACATCCTTTTGGAGACAGATACAATTTCACTTAAGAGTTTCTCCTTTCTAGCCGGGCGTGGTGGCACACACCTTTAATTCCAGCACTCAAAGAGGCAGAGGCTGGGGGATCTCGGAGTTTGAGGTCAGACTGGACTAGAGTGTGAGTTCCAGGACAGCCAGGGCTACATGAAGAAACCCTATGTGGGAAAAAAATAAAACAAAAGTTTCTGGTTACTTCCAGCTTTAAACTCCTGACTTAAATTCTCAATAAAACCAATCTCACTTGTAACTTCCTCCCTTAAAGGAAAGTATCTTGTGAAACAAACATCTTATGTTTCATTATAATATGGAGGAACTAATATGAATACCTACTATGTACCTTTTTATCAACTACTTAACGCTTACCTAAATCCTATTACTTTCATTTTCATAAGATGCAACAGAGGGGTTAAACAGCTTGTTCAAAGTCACAAAACACAGATCTATGCCAACTGTTACTTAGCAACTGCAGTCTCATGCTATAATGACTGCCATTATTTCCAAGACTGTAAAGACTATTCAGACTAGACAGTAGACTCAGTCATTTAAAGGGGGAAAAAAAAAGTGAGTGCTGGAGAGAGGGCCCAAAGGACCCCAGGTTCAACTCCTAACACCCACATGATAGCTCACAACCATCTCTAACTCCAGTCCCAGGGAATCTGATGCCCTCTTCTGGCCTCTGAGGGACTGCATGTCTGTGGTACAGACATGCATACACACAAATACCTATACACATAAAATAAAAACACAAAAGCAATGTGAAGTAAAATATTTTCGAATAAAATGCTATAAACAGAATAAAAGGGTGCCAAAATTTTGCTGTTTAACTTTTAAATATCCAACATAATAGCTGAGATAAAACTTATATAGGACCACTTTAGTGATTATTTCAGGTTTGATTCTAATAACATTAATAGATACACTAGACGTATAGTTCACGAAGCACTCCATCAACAATCTTAGTCTTATGAACAACACAATTAAGGTACAAAGTATACCCAGGCACTGTGGCATATGCTTATAAACTTATCACTCAAGGGCAGAGGCAGGAGGGATTGATAGGAGCTCAAAGCCAAGTCTGCATTACAGTGACTATCAGGCCTGCCAAAGTTACATAACAAGATCCATCCCGAAAAACACCAGACAAACACAAATATTATAAAGTATATAACAACTGCTATGTATTAATTTCAAATTCAAGAACAGAAATGAAACTTAAATCTGTAATATGAATTAGAAAATGAAGAGTTTTTTAAAACTGTAATGGTATTTTATCTTTCTCTTTTGAATTCTTGAGACCTTCATATGAACATTTTTCTTAGTGAAACTGGTAGGAATGTAAAGAGTAAAGAAAAATGCAAATTCCATTTAAGTATATACTTAAGCCAAACTATAAAATTCAAAATTAGAATAATTGGAATGTCTTTTTAAAAGAACTTGGTTTTGCCCTTCTCATCATATAGGTTGACAAGAGAAAAACAAATAAAGGGGCATCGTCTTTTTTTTAAACTAGGCAAAAAAAACATGGACTATTAGAGAAGTTCAAAATGAACCACCAATAATCTGTTAACTTACTTACCCATGTTAGATTTCCAATATATAATGCAATTCTCTTTCCAGTGTAAGTGTAGACAACATTTGGCGCTGCACCTTTTCCCACATCATCACCAACAGTTGGTGGAAGAGTATCCATGTAGTCCCGGTCTTCTGGGGCATCGCCATTATTTGCAGATGGAGAGATGACATCATCGTACAAATCTATCTGATCATGCCCACCATATTCTGCTTCCTAAGACACAGAAATAAAGTTCTAGATTATGACAGTCAAAATACTAAATATGAATACAAATTCATTTAACTTATTTTAAAAATCTTGTGCAAGACAGGAAAAGGTTCTTCTCATTTTATTTAACAGATTGTGTTCTTTAATGGTGACTTTGATCTTTCTCAAAAGTGAAGTATTCTTAGAAGTAACAACACATAAATGCAAACAGATGTTTCAAAAGAATATTGTCATAAGACTGTCACAAACAAAAACCAGAGGTATTATAAGTCTTCAGTATGTGAGCACAGGCAAAAACCCCACTATTTTCTTTGGTAATAAGATCTTATTTACCTACTCTGAGAAAGCTACTGTTTTATAAACTAAGCCACAGAAATGGGTGGTGATGGGGGAATGTGCATATACATGTTTCAAAAAGTCTTACTTAGTGAAACAAAAAAATATAAATAAAACTATTCAAAGTATTATCTTGCAATAACTGTATTATTCTCACTAGACAAAGCGCTACAGCTTAAATGACTTGAAATCTAGCCAAGTGCATTAGCACGTGGAAAGTAATCCACAGGGGATTTAGTCAAAGTGTGCCACTGTCACTGAGAACTAAAGCAATGCTAGGATGTCACTTACATGCCTAAGTGATAAACCAGGAAGAGGAGAAATGGATGTTGAGAAAAAAAAGGGGGTGGGGATTCAATTTGCAAATATCACTTTTTTAAGACTAAGTAAGTATATCAATATCAATGTGAACTATTTTACCGTTCTAAGGTAAATTTGAGATAAATTAAAAAACAATACAAAACCACTTAAGATTTCAGATATAACTAGGCATAACTCAAGTTCTCCCATGTGTACAATTTACTAAGAATTGTCATAAATGACATACAAGAGTTTGTTTTAGGGACTACAATATGATAATGACCAAGAAAGAAACCATTGTTATACAATGGTAAATGGATCAGTAAGATACTAAAGGCACCAAGCCTGGCTATTGTTCCATTACTCACCAAAAAGCCAGAATAAGACTTGTTTTTAAAGAGAAAGGGGGAAAAGAAAAAAAAAAAAAAGAAACCTAGAAAGGAAAACATAGACACAGCCAAAGAGACCTCAAATTTACATTTTTTTTTCCAGGTACTCTGCATCAATAATGAATTGTGTAAGTTTTTAAAAATTTATCAAGATATTACATACCAACTTTACTTATTACAAAGCAGGATGTCTGTAAGACTTATTTAATAATGGACTTAAATACCAAGGTAAATCAAAGAACAAAAAGCCACCTTCAGCAGAAGGCAGGAACCAAGACCACAAGCCGTAATGCCATTGATTTTAAAGAACAATGTCAAAATATTATCTAAGTGATGAGTTTTTATCAAGCTAAGAAGCATGGGCACGCTGCACTGGCAGTGAGAATTACAAGAAAGGAGCGTAAGCTTGGCACTGGCAGTGAGAATTACAAGAAAGGAGCGTAAGCTTGGCACTGGCAGTGAGAATTACAAGAAAGGAGCGTAAGCTTGGTTACGAAGTATCAAGGTGGCTGAAACTTCTAGTGATGTGGCTGCAACAGTGGCGCCATACACTGAAAATATGAAAAAGCTTCCCACAAAGGGTAGTGGGCACTTTAAACTCTCTTGCAATCCAGTTCTGTACATCAAGTAAAATTATTACAATTATTCAAAGGGAGTTGTATTTCCATCCTCAATGGAGATTAATCATAAATACAGTCAGGAGGAGAGTAAAAAAGAATGCAAGGTTTATTGAATACAAGACTAAAAGTACTGAAGTTTTTACTTTCACTTGCAGGAAAAGATTAAGATATTATATAATTTGTCATTCATTTTAAATGTATGAAAAGGCTTACTTAAGAAAATAATCATTTACAGGCAGTAACTAAAGCTACACTAACCTGATACATTACAACCACATACTGTTTTTTTATGTCCATGACTTCCTATGGTGACACTAACCGTATTTTCCATATTTATATTATTCCACCAATATTTAAGATCAGCCATTTTGTCTGGTAGTTGGACTGATTCCAATCCAACCTGAAGTGATGCTAATTGAGACCATGGTCCTGGGGTTTGATCTCCATGTGGACTAGTTAGCTTCACAGTGTTCCATGGCCACAGCCTCTATTCTTAACCCCAACGGTATACATTGGACTTGGTGAAAGAAGCATTAACGAATCTGAATACATGCCATTGCTAAGAAAGCAATTCAAGGAATACTCTTAATAGTATCTACAATCTTCCTTTTTTAGCTTCATTATTTTAAGTATTGTTCACATTTTAAAGAAAATCCAGAACACATTCAACTGTTTCTACTTCAAGTGAAAATGAACATATTCTGAAATTATACAAAATGCCTATCACAGGTCATATATAAAAATGAACTCTGAAACCCTACTAGACAAATGAAAACTTTTCTACTCTGTCAAAAAAAGTCAACAACATCAAGTTCTGCTATGTGAAGGTCTTTTTCAAATACACCTCAATAGTATTCAAAAATGTAAAATTACAACATATCCTAAGCACTCCAGATTAAAGCCACCTACGTTTCTTACCCATGTTTCTAGGACCTAATATCAATAAAGCTGCACATCTAACTTCTAACAAGAACAGCTCTTAGGCAGGGAACAGTGTCACATGTCTTTATCCCAGCATTTGAAGGCAGAGGCAGGTAGATGCTCTGTGAGTTCAGGCTAGTCTCGTCTACATAATGGTTTCCAGGACATAGTGAGACTGTCTCAAAAAACAAAACAAGAACAAACAAAAGAACAACTCTTAGGGTTTGTGAAAAGAGTAACAAAGTAATCTTTTTTCAATTCCTACTACTCTAAATCACTACAATCATTCTAATTACATGAAAGGTATCAAAATCCAGTACTCAGCTTTGGTAATCCTAGTAGTTGGGAGGCTAGGGCAGAAGAGTGCCATAAATTTGAGGCCAGCCTGGGACACAGGCAAGCCCTTGCTTAGAAAAAGAAAAAAAATAAAGAAATAGGGAAAAAAAAGGGGGGGTGGGCCTTTTCTCAAGATTTTGCATGATAGGACTGTTTTCTTCCTACCAGATACACAAAACTGTTGCCCAGTCAGAGAACACACTTCAAAAGTATGATGAATAAGATGACCAACATCGCATTCATTTTCTTAAAGCAATGTTTTAACCTTTTTCATTAGCACTATTTCCCTTCAAGTTTTTTAGGCAGTTTTCCCCTAATCACATCCTATACATTTTTAATATTACAGATAAGTTGTGTATAATGTATACTATTATAGGGATTACCCTGATAGAGCTATTGAAGTATTAATTTTCTGATAGGGGCACACTGTTTTTAGTGTTCCTAGAATCACAGTTAATACCATTTGTGCATTATTGGATACTACCAGTAAAGGACAGCACCTATTTCAAAATACCCCTATATTTAAAAAAGTATTAAGTCATTGCATTTAAAAAAACCATAAGGGAGGGGGGAGTTATACTCTGCATTACAAAATGTGTTCAGTATCATGTAAGAGAAAACTTAGAGCATAAAACCTACTAGCAAGAGACTGGTTCCAGCATACCATCCATCCCCAAACCATTCAAGAATACCAAAACCTACAGATGTTTAAACCTCTTATATAAAATGGTGCAGTATTTACATATAAACTATCCATCCTCTCATATATTTTAAATTATCTCTAGATTTTTTAAAAACTCCTAACACAATGTAAATGCTTATTTAAAAAGTAATTATACTGTACTGACTTAGGCAATAATGGTAAGAAGTTTATACATATGTAGGCAATTTCACCCAGCCAATATTTTAGATCCCAGTTGAATTCTTAGATACAGAAAAATGTGGATTTTTTTTTTCAGAAAACATAATGAATATGCTAAGTGTATTAATTTTATAATTCCTGTAAAATATCAAATTAGATCTTAACCACTGTGCCATTTCTCTAGCCCCTACGATTTATCCTTCAACTATTTTCATTAAGCATATCATAAGGTTCCAAGTATAAATTGAAATGACTCAATAAAATTTGACACAAGAGGACATCTAAATCCTTAATTCCAAACTGACCCCATCCCAGTCATACCTCCATTTACTTTTAAAGTTAAGTGAGCAGAGTAATGAAATCAGTACTGTTTGCTATCAATAACCCACAACCTGAGAGCAGACACTAAATTCTACATCAACAGCTTCTGATTCCCAGATGAACTCCCCCCTTCTCTCTCTCTCTCTCTAATATATATATATATATATATATATATATATATATATATATATATATATATTTGGATGTACAGAATATAACTTGAGCATGCCTAATTTAAAAAAAAAATAAGAAGCCCTAAAGGCTTTTGAGCACCAATATGATATTCAAAAAGTTTTGGACTTTGGGGCTTGAGAGATGGATGGCTCGGGGGCTAAGAGCACTGGCTGGGAACCTGGGTTCCTAGCACTCATGCTGTGGCTAACCACCACCTGTAACTCCAGTTCCAGAGGATCTGATGCCCTCCTCTGACCTCCACAGGCACCAGGAATGCACATGGTACACATACATACATGTAGGCAAAAACACTCATACATATAAAGGAGTATATCCTGGGAGAATGCCCACCCCCCAACCCCCTGCCACCGCACCCCCCACCCCCCCACCCCCGCCCCCGCAGGCTCTGCTTTCTGCTTAACTCCGAAGTCAGTACAAGTAATGCACAGAAGTAGTTCCAATTCTCCTTCCAGTGAGCAACTCTTCTCCATTTGGTCACATCCAAAACCCTAAAATAAGATCTTAGCTGCCCATGTGTTCCTGTGCCTCTTCAACTTCATTCTCCATTCTTAAAAATCACCTAGTATAGAAAGTAAATGCACTAACTTAGTCTCATCACATCCCCAAATTAAAGCTTTTAATACTCAATTTCTCCTACTTTCTGCAATATTGTGCTTTACCAAAATGTAAAACAAGCTTTATGACACTGCCTATTTTAAGTAGTAAATGGAAAACGAGACTAGTGTCTACACAGAATTTCAGAGAATACAAAGTACAATTAAAACTGCAGCTCACAATAGAGAACAAAAGATGTGTTTAGGGGCTGGAGAGGTGGCCCAGTAGTTAGAGGGCAGGATGCTCTCTCTTCCAGAGGACCCAAGTTTAATTCCCAGCATCCACGTGGCTGCTCACAACTCTCTGTATGTAACTCCAGTTCCAAAGAATCTGACTCCCTCTTCTGGCCTCTTTGGGCACCAGCAGCCCACGTGGTTCACAGACATATGCAAGTAAAACACCCATACACATGAAAAAAGAAAGAAAAAAAAAAGGAAAGGAAAAGTTTTAAAAAAAAAGCTTAATATTTATAGATGTTTAGAAAACAAAATAATTAAAAATTGCTAATGATTAGTTCTGAAAAATATTTGCTTGACTACAATCAAATAGTCACATTGGTTACTATAACAGCTAGTAGAAATAAGGTTCCCACCTAGGCAGAGAGAACAGATTCACAGGGATATACACAGGAGTAAAGTGTTGGCCTAGCATGAGTGAAGCCTATGGATTGCACAGGTTTGTGACCCCAGCACTGGGGAGGCTGAGGCAGCAGGTGCACCACAAACTGAAGGTCAGCCTGGAACACACAGCAAGTTCTAGGTCAACCTGAGCTAGAGAGAGAGAGAGAGAGAGAGAGAGAGAAAGAGAGAGAGAGAGAGAGAGAGAGAGAGAGAGAGAGAATGAGAATCAATAATTCTGTTGTTGCTTCTAATTCTGGTAGGATCTCATAAAAGCACTTCAATGACAGTGACATTGACAGAAAACATGATAATCTCAAAATAACTGGCAATCTTTTCGTGGCTACTTTTTTTGTTCAGGCATTCAGAGCAAGCAAATCACAGAAGCCAAACAGTGACAAGTAATGCACCTGGAGTGAACATGCAGCTCAGTGGTGGAGTGATTACCTAGATGTGCAAGGTCCTGGGTTCAGTACCCAGAGCTGCAAACAAGGGTTTGGAAAAAGCCTCTACTTAATCTCCCAATTAATCTACTTAAACCGACAACGATTTTACTTGTAAAATTACACAACCATGTATCAGACACAATGCTGAAAGTACAAGCCAGTGAGTGTGAAAAGGAGGCACACTCACTGGAGTCCACAAAGTCTAGTCTCTCCTGGACCTCTTGCTAGCACGAGTTAATGCAGAGGTAAAGTGGCATGTCATCCAGTTACCGTCCCTCCCAAAGAAAGTATTCAACAGTCTGAACACACTTCATGGTGATACCACAGAAAGCTTAATTTCTCCCTGTCTCCCTGTCTGTCTCTGTCTCTGTCTCTGTCCCTCCCTCCCTCCCTCCCTCTGAGACCAGGCTGGCCTCAAACTCAGAGACCACCTGTCCTCTAACCACTGGGCTACCTCTCCAGCCCCTAAACACATCTTTTGTTCTCTATTGTGAGCTGCAGTTTTAATTGTACTTTGTATTCTCTGAAATTCTGTGTAGACACTAGTCTCGTTTTCCATTTACTACTTAAAATAGGCATAGTTTTATAAAGCTGGCATGTTGATAAAGCACAATTTTTGGGTGCTAGAATTTAAGGCTTGTGCCACCATGACCAGTGAAGAAAGTTTAATTTCTAAGACTGTACCCCAATTCTTCCTTACTGTGAGCACAAACACAAAGCAATACGTTCTCTCACTGAAAAAGCTAATCAAGACTGTCTCAAACTTTTTTTTTCCTTTAGTCGAAGTTATGACTGTTTTAGATACGCTACATGCCTTGAAAGATGAAAGGGAAAAAGTCCAGAGATCTTACTCCGACTGACCTTAAAAGCACTGGACTCTGGGTCAAAGAAAATTTCTAATTCTAATTGATATAACAACTCAGGCACGATAAAAACAGATTTTCAAACTTCATGTTTTATTGCAACGGGTTAATTACATTTAAAAATATCTAGTTTCTAAGTCAGTAGTGAATAATTAAACCCTATCAAAATTTGCTTTTCTTTTCTAACATTTAAACCAAAGGCACAATGTCATTCTTGGAAAACAAAGCAGTAAGGATTTAAGAGTTTCTATTGTTTTGTTTTTTAAATTTTGCATCCCTAGTCATAAATACGATTAGCAGAAGGCAAACACCATATTAATCAAATGGCTTATTAAGCTTCTCATCCGAACCTGAGAATTTTTTAAATGTAGAACTGTTTTCTTTTAAAAAAAAAAAAAAAACAACAGGAAAAATTTAAAAAATAGCTTTAAGTAACACTATCGTTGGGTGCAACTTTAAAAAACGTGAATATATGAAGTGCAATAAAAATAGGAAGAGGCGAGTAAGAAGCTAAGCGTTACCAACTCTGGTAATCAGATCTTTCCAAGAATGTTCATCGTCAGACATCACAGCTAGTCCTAGGCTACCCGTGGCCGGTGAGACCGGAAAACCTTACACGTCTCACTTTCTCCAGCCTTTCAAACCGTGAAGGAGAGCCCACGGGGCAAACACTTCGCTTTCAAAATACAGTCCCGTCCACGACGACTTTGCAAGCTACCACTGGGAGGATTTCGGGCGGACGATCTCCGTTTCAGTCTCCGGGATCTGTTAGCGAGGGACCACCATCTTTTTGTTCTGTCCAACCACCGCGCATCCCAGCCTTTGGCGCAAGCCGTGTATCCTCCCCCGGTTATTTTTTTTTTCTTCACAAAAGGCCAAGGCCTGGGCCTCAAAGGCACCCGCAAGCCCTCGATGGCCCAGGCAGGCCAACGCACCGACTTTGAAAACGAGATCGGCGGGGTCCAAAAGTCAGGTGACTTGTTGCAGACGTCCCCACCACCTAAGCCACCCTTCCCCCCCTCGGGGACCGGGGTTGGGGAGGATGGGGGGGGGGGGGACGGACGGAAGAGCGGGACCCGGGGCGCCACGCCACGTCGAAACCCGTCGCCAACGCGAGCAAGGAAGGCGCCCAGGAGCCCCGGGCGCGCGGGATACAAAGGGCTGTGAACGCGGCCTTCCATGAGGGGCGACCGTGCGCGGACCGAGACACAAAATGGAGCGACGGGGAGGAATCGGAACCCGAAGCGGCCGGGGCCGGGATGGAGGAGACGGCGGGCGGGCGGGCGGGCAAGCGGGCGAACGGGCGCGCGAACCGGCCAGCCAGGGCTTCTTTCCTCCTCCTCCTCCTCCTCTTCCTCCCCCCACACCCTCGGGCGGGCGGCGGGGGAGGGGGCGCGGCGGCCCGTTCTCCCCGCCCCGCACACGCGGCCTAGCTCGGCGGGAAGCGCCCGCCACCGTAGCCAACAATGGGGCGTGAGGCCGCCCTGGAGGAAGGGGCGGGCGGGCGGGCGGCTGCACGGCGACCGAGGGAGGGGGGCCCCCCGCGCTCCGGGGCCCGCGGCCCGCAAAACGACGCGCGAGAACAAGGGGTGAGCTGGGGGGGTGGGTGGGGGAGACGCGCGCACACACAGCGGCGCGGCCCAGAGGCGCCAAGGGCGCACGGTCTGCAGCCGAGCCGGCTCGCGGCCCCGCGGCGGCCCTGGCGAGCGTCCCGGGCGGGTCGGCGGCGGCGGCGGCGCCCGGCCCCTCCCGTACCTGGTTGAACTCTTCGCCCACATCCGCGTAGATGTCTATGTGGTCCACGCCGTCCGCCATCTTCCCTCGGCCTCGGCCGCCGCCGCCGCCGCCGCCGCCGCCGCCTGCAGGTCGGCCCGCCGAGGCAGCAGCAGCGGATCTAGCGGCGGGGGCGGGGCGCCAGACGTCACTTCCGAGGGGCGGAGACCAGGGCGCCGCGGCCCACTCCGGCTGCCGGGGGGACCCGGCGGAGGAGGGATGCGGCGGCTCCCCCCCGGCGCCAACTCGTTCTTTTGTGTGCAAAGGGGTTGCAGCGGCAGGATGGCGGGGTGGCCCGGGAAATCGCCATCCCGCATGCCCGGGGCGCGGGGGGGGATGCCTCTCATTTCCAGAGACTAGCTTTTCCAACTGCTTCTTGCCTTTTTTTTTTCTTTGCTATGTTACGTTTTCAGTTTTTCCTGCGTTGGTATTTGTTGTTGTCGTTTTATGGCTTTTTGTTTGGTTGGTTGTTTTTGTTTTTTTAATTTGCTTCCAAGGGTTAAGGAGATGGGAGTTAATAGTGCGCCGACTAAAAACAAAATGGGATGCCCGGGGCAATGACTTATTTCTGCTTTTTCAGACAACCGAATTTTGTGGTTGCCTCGAGTGATTTGTGTATTTCGTGCTTGCATCTCTTACCTTTATGTAGTTGTAAGCGTCTTTTGGCTTCTTCCATCGCCCTCCTTCCTTCCCCATTGCCCTTGATTTTTTTTTCCCCCCTCTTTATGTCTGCAGGAGGTTTTCTCCGGCAATCCTCCCGAGGCTTCTAACTTCACGTTAGAGCTCATACAACAAAGTGAATGAATGTATCTTAAATCTAGGAACTCCTGGGTTCAGAATGCTGAGCTAGAAGGGAAGTTAAAAAGGTGTCCTTAGGTCCAAACGTTCCATTTTACAGATAGAGAACTAAGGCCTAATAGAACATAAGTGATTTAACTAGGGGTTATGTGGCTTGTAAAAGGTACACGCCTTTTGACACCGGACCGTGATTCAGAGATCTCTCTCCATTTCCAACGGCCCCACCCATTTCTTTCCTTTCCATTTAAAAACTCATCAGGCCTGGTGATGTCCCTCAGTGGGTAAAGGTCCTGGCTGTGAAGCCAGATAAATTCAGTCCCTAGGATTCTCATGGAGAAAAGAGAGACCCAACTCCTGGTTAGTAATCCTCGATCTACCCAGTGCCTCTGGCTACCCCCAACTCTACCTCCAACCCTGCCAACAAATAAGTAAATAAACAAACATTTATTTTATTTTTTTTAAAAAAGGCATCAGATGCAGATTGGTCTGAAATTATTTAAAAAAAAAAACAAGTAACATCTGTTCTCGTTACAGCTGTAAAAGCTTGGTTGCTGCTGGACGGTGGTGGCACATGCCTTTAATCCTGGCACTCGGGAGGCAGAGCCAGGTGGATCTCTGTGAATTTGAGGCTAGCCTGGTCTGCAAAGTGAGTTTCAGCACAGCCAGGGCTACACCAAGAAACCCTGTCTCGGAAAACCAAAAGAAAAAAAGAAAAGAACTTTTTGATGATTTTTCAAATGTAACTTCAGAGTACCTTTTTACTTGACAATTTTCAAAATTTGGAAGATTCATGTAAATTAGAAAGGGAAAATAGCAGGGCGGTGGTGGCGCATGCCCTTAATCCCAGCACTCGGGAGGCAGAGTCAGGCGAATCTCTGAGTTCAAGGCCAGCCTGGTCTCCAAAGCGAGTTCCAGGAAAGGCGCAAAGCTACACAGAGAAACCCTGTCTTGGGAAAAAAAAAAAAAAAAAAGCAAAAAAGAAGAAAGGGAAAATAAAATAACTCTAGATCTTATTTTTACGTTTATTTATTTACTTATTTTGTGTGTGCACATGCGTGTGGACAGGTCCATGCCATGGCTCATGGATGGAAGTCAGAGGACCTCTTGGAGAGTCATTTCTCTCCTTCCACGGTGTGCATCCTTGAAGTCAAACTTAGGTAAAGGCTGCCAGCAGGTGCTATACCTACTGAGCCCTCACATTGTCCCTCCAGCACCTTCTACATAGCAATCTTTTTGTTAGACATTGTATGGTCACTGTGTATATAGATGAAAGAGTGGAGACTTGGGTTTTTGTCACAGCTCAATGCTGAGTAGCCAAGTAACCCTGAGACAAGTCTTTGGTCTCAATTTTTGTTTGTTTGTTGTCTGTTTTTTTGTTTTTTTGAGACAAGGTTTCTCTGTGTAGCCCTGGCTGTCCAGGAACTCCCCCCTGTAGACCAGGCTGGCCTCGAACTCAGAGATCTGCCTGATTCTGACTCCCAAGTGCTGGGATTAAAGGCATGTGCCACCATGCCCAGCTCTCATCATAAATTTCTTGATGGAAGTTCTAAAATCTTTTCGAATCAAGTCTACATAGAACAGAAAGTCCCAATGTCTTTAGGAGAAATTCAACAATAAGTTACATGTTGCACACAAACTGCCTTTTCACCTCCCTGAGCCGGTTTCTAATTGCTACTGTGACAACTTAGTAACAATGTTAGGGGCCTGAAACAACAGATTCATTAACCTCCAGTTCTGGAGGTCAGAAGTCCAATTCAGGCTTTTACAGGGCTGTTCCAGTTACCTTTTCTTTTGCTGTAATAAAACACTGATGAAAAGCCACTTAGGAAAGAGTATTAGGGTTCTCTAGAGTAACAGAACTTATAGAATGCTTTTTTTATGTATATAGAAAGGGGAGTTATTAGAATGATTTACAGAGCTGGGCAGTGGTAGCTTTAATCCCAGCACTCTAAGAGGTAAAGGCAGGCAGATCTGTAAACAGAAGTTTCTGTCCCGCCAGCAACTCCCAAATACCCAGCAGCCACTTCCCAAATTACCACACAGAGGCATAATATAATTAATCATATTAATTATAAATACTCAGCCAATAGCTCAGGCTTATTAGTAACTAGCTCTTACATTTTAAGTTAACCCATATTCCTTATTTACACTCTGCCACATAGCGTTACCTTTATTAGCATGGCACATTCATCTCCTGCTCCCTCTGCGTCTAGCTGGCGAATCCTGACTCTGCCCTTCTCCTTTTCATCATCCTTAGTTTGATTGCCCCACCTACACTTCCTGCCCGGCTACTGGCCAATCAGCGTGTTATCAAACCAAAGTTTAATAAAACAAAGAGTGACAAATTTTTACAGTATACAAGAGGATTATTCCACAGCACAAATCTCTATGAGTTTGAGGCCAGTCTGGTCTACAGAGTGAGTTCCAGGACAGCTAAGACTAAGTCAAGACTACAGAGGGAAACCCTGTCAAGGAAGAAAGAAAAAAAAATGATTTACAGATTATGGTCCAGCTAATCCAACAATGGCTTCCTATGAACAGAATGTCCAAGAATACAGTTCAGTCCACAAGGCTAAAAGTCTCAACAGGTTTTGTATATGATATGCTGGGATCCTGAAAAAGTAGGCTCTAATGTCAGTGAAGGAATGAACTTGCTAGTAAGGCAAGAGCAAGCAGGCAAAGAATGAAGGTTCCTTCTTCCATGTCCTTATATAGACTTCCAACAGAAGTTGTGGCCCAGATGAAAGGTGGGTCTTCCCACCCGAAGATCTGGATTAGAAGAATATGTTGCCACTTCAAATTAAGCAAAAATCTCTCACAGGTGTGCCCTGACATTTTGAGTTAGTTAATTCCAGATGTAGTCAAGTTGACAACCAAGAATAGCCATCACAAAGGGTTTTTTTATGATTATTTATTTTTATTTCATTTGCATTGGCATTTGGCCTGCATGTATGTCTATATAAGGGTGTTGGATCCCCTGGAACTGGAGTTACAGACAGTTGTGAGGTGTTAGGTGAGTATTGGGAATTGAACCTGGGTCTTTTTTTAGAACAGTCAGTGGCTCTCAACCACTGAGCCGTCTCTCCAGCCCCCACAAGGGGTTTTTTATATTACGCTTTTCAGGTCATTGAGGGATGTCAAGACAAGCACTCAATTCAGGAGCTTGAAGCAGAAACTATGGAGGAATGCTGCTTACTGGCTGACTCACAGGCTCATGCTCAGCTAGGTTGTTTGTTTGCTTGCTTGTTTTCGTACAAGCCAGGTCCACTAGCCTAGGGACGATGCCTCCCAGAGTAAACTGGGCCCTCCCACATTATTCATTTGTCAAGATAGTACCTCACAGACCTAGCCACAGACCAATCTTATCTAGGCAGTTCCTCAACAGAGTGTCCTCTTCCCAGGCTACTCTGACTTATGTCAAGTTGACAAAAGCTAGCCAGCCAAAGGCCTACCATAGTATTTTGGGAAGTCGGAAAGAAGATGGTCCTGCTAGTCTTTGATGCATCTGCCTATATTCAAAGACACAGAACAGCATTCTCTTTTCTTTCTCTTTTTCACCTGTGTGGCCATGCAACCTCAGTTCCAGTTCAAATAATCACCGTGCAAGAAAACAGGCAGCTATCTCAGTTCCAATTACAAATCCAAGGAGAAAGCAACCAATTGCCTCATTGAAAAAAAAAAAAATTCATTACCAGGCGGTGGTGACGCACACCTTTAATCCCAGCACTCGGGAGGCAGAGGCAGGTGGATCTCTGTGAGTTCAAGGCCAGCCTGGTCTACAGAGTAATTAGGTCCGTAATCTAATTTACATGTCTTACTAAAGGAGAGCATCATATAACCCCATGACAGGACAGCCAGAGCTACATAGAGAAACCCTGTCTCAAAAAAATTTTTTTTCTTTGTGAAAAAGAAGAGCTATTTGATTATGACATTTTCACACGTATATGTCATATACTTCAATCATCATTTTCACACACCACGGCTGTTACTTACCCTCGTACATCCTTTCTTCCTTCTGCTGGTTCCTTTTCCCATATCAAGTAGTCTGCCTTCTATTTTAGGGTCTTTTGTTGTTGTTGTTGCTGTTGTTGTTGTTTTGTTGTCTTTGGAGGCAGGGTTTCTCTGTGGAGTCCTGGCTATCCTGGAACTCACTCTGTAGACCAGGCTGGCCTCGAACTCACAGAGCTCCTCCTGCCTCTGCCTCCTAAGTGCTGGTATTAGAGGTGTGGGGCCTTTCTTCTCTCTCTCTCTCTCTCTCTCTCTCTCTCTCTCTCTCTCTCTCTGTTACTAAAATTCTTGATGACAGCCATTGTGACTGGTGTGAGATACAATTC